ATAGTTTACTGGCCACCTGATTTGCAGACAAAGGAAACCTGATCCCAGGACTCTCACGGAAATTACACTGTTAGTGACAGCCCATCACACACAACAAGAGCCTCTTACACTGAGAACAGAACAGATTATAGTTAAACATGCATCCCAACATGAAAATCTGCCACTAATTCTGATGTCATCTGCAAACGTACTTCCTATATTCACATCCAAATCATCTATGTAAATGACAAAAAGCAGCGCTCCCCCGTCCCCTACCGTCCATCCAAGGTGTAACCTTGATCCACATGTGGCCTGTTTGAACAACATGAACACATAGCCAATATATTTAGACTTTTAAACTGAGATAACAAGGTGTAGAGCTGGATGAACACAGCAGGCCGAGCAGCATCAGAGGAGCAGGAAGGCCGAGATGTGCAATAAAACTACCTCAGCTGCACAAACTGTTTCCTTATAATGGTGTATCTCAACAAACTCCTTGCCTAAGCTGCTTGCTACCTCCCATACACCATGCCCCAGAACATTCTGCATACAAAATTACTCCAAATTTGTACCCATCTACCCTTCTTCAGTCAGTATGAGGAGCTGGGCGTCAGCTTAAAAAGTGGAACCTCAGAAGGTAATAATATTAGGATTATTATCTGAGCCACATACAAATTGGCATTGGACAAATCAGATGAGAAATGAAAATATGGCTTAAAGACTGATGTGGGAGAATTGGGTTCCCATCCTTCGGCACTGAAGTAACCATATGGCAAGGTCTGGAAAGCAAAGATTCATACAGTCATGCAGCATAGAAACAGACCCTTCAGCCCAACCAGTCCATGTTGACCATAATCTCATACTAAACCAGTCCCACCTGCCTGCTCCTGGCCCATATCTTTCCTTTTCATGTATCTATCCAAAAGTCTTTTTAACATTATAATTGTACGAGCATCCACTGCTTCCTCTGGAAGTTCATTCCAAACTCAAACCACCCTCTGTAAAAAAAACTACCCCTTCTGTCTTTTTTAAATCTCTGTCCCCTCACCTTAAAGATGTGTCCACCAGTCTTGAAATCCCCTATCCTAGGGAAAAGACAACTGCCATTAACTTTATCAATCTCATTATTTTTTAAACTTCTATCAGGGCGCCTCTCAACCTCATAGGCTCCAATGAAAAACATCCTTGCTATCCAACCTTTCTTTATAACTCATGCCTGAAACTATTAGTAAGGGGAGATCAAACCCCTCTGAAAATTTAAATTGAAACACAAACCCCCAATCTGTTATGGCAAGTGTAGATGTCCCCTTCTAATGATTAAACTCAAAACACCCAGAGAAGCTTGCCTCACCTCACTTAACCTGTTAAAAAGGAGTACTTAAATGAAAAAAAATCCCTGATATTCACTTGAAAGCAACAAGTAACAATTTACTTATTTAACCCTAATTTAATTAACAGAACTACTGACAAATTGGAGAATTCCCCTTTGACTACTAACTATTCCCTAACTGAACATAATTCTACCAGTATGCTGTTCCAATAAACACAAGTCTCACTTATTTAAACCCAAGTAACAAGAAGACTAAATCAAACTTAGTCTCTCAAAGCCCATACAGAATGCATCTTCCAGAATGTTCTGCCGGCTCCGCTGTCTCTCCAGTCATAAATGCATTTCTTCCACTCATCCTTCTGTTAGGGATGTTTTCTCTGTGAATTCTTCTGTGAGGACTTTTAGCTAGAAGTGCTGTGGTGCCTTTATGAATAGATGGTACTTTCCCAGAGAGCTTAGCGATTTCTGTGAGAGCCAGATATTTACTCTTCAGATGGCAGTTCTCTCTCACACCGATTTTCAGAAACCCTTTTCTTATATACCCCAGATGACCTGTCAATTTTCTCATAATAAGATTGGTCCAAGGTTGTCAAAACCATCAGATTTAAATTCAATTGGTTTTCAATCTCTAAGTGCTTGCTTTAAATTAATTGGCTGATTCCAGCTAGTTGACAAAACATCAAAACAGGCCTCAGGTTTCCAATCACACAGCCAATCAATACATGTTTCAATTTCAGAACTGGCTACACCATTTTAGTTGCTTACAGACACATTTTGGTTTCAATCTCCAAGCTTAGAAAAGCACATCACCTCTTAAAGGGACTATGCACTCTTACCCAATATCATTTCTATAAATTCTAACTTCCTGCCTTCCGATTCACAAGTACTCTAACAACTTCACAACAAGACCTAGTGGAAATTAGGAACAGATGATAGGTATAAATAAAGACTTTTAAGAAGTGTGGGCTATGGTCTACAGTGAACCGTCCTGGGACTGCTGTTTCTCAGAGCTGAGTAACTAGGTAAGTAGAAAATGTTTTAAACTAAATATTGGGTTCAGATTCCAAAGCATGTGGTAAATGAAAGAGTAGTGAGAAGGCAAAATAGATAGGTATTAATCTGGAAATGTCAAACAGAACTGGACTGGAATTGACCTAAACTATGAATTACAAAAAGGAGAGAAAAAAGGACAAAACCTAACGCGCAGTCAAGGCATGTATGTGATATTCTAAACAAACCAGAAGAAATGTTAGCAATTAACTGAGCCAACTAAAAGATAACAGTCCACAAATCAAGATCGTGGAACTCTCCCCTTATTGACATTATGGGTATAGCAGAAGGCAGACCAGCACCCATTTCTCAAGGGAAAACAGGGATGGGCAAACATGCTGACACAGCCAGCAACACCCACATCCTGAAAGTGAATTAAAAACAAGCATCTACAGAAAAGGCAAACAATTGTGCAAAGAAGTATGGCAGGCCAAACAATGGGGCAGAATATTTTAAAAAAAATACAAAGAATAACTTAAAAGACTAACAGGGAGGCAGAAATTAGAAACAAAAGTGAAATTGCTGGAAAAACTCTGCAGATCTGGTAGCATCTGTGGAGAGAATTCAGAGTTAATGTTTCGGGTCAAGTGATGCTTCCTCAGAACTCCCTCAGAAAGGGTCACTCGACCCAAAACATTAACTCTGATTTCTCTCCACAGATGCTGCCAGACTTGCTGAGCTTTTCCAGCAATTTCTATTTTGGTTTTTGATTTACAGCATCTACAGTTTTTTCAGAAGAAAATAGGGTTTATATTAAAAAAAGACAGAGTTTCAACAGCTGATTAAGAAAATTAACAAAATGAACGTTGGTCTTATAGGAAATGAGTCCAGGGCATTAATAAAAGGAAATAATGAGATGGAAGATTATGTTGAATTGTTATTTTATGTCAGTCTTTACTGTAGTGGAAACAAGTAACATTACAGAACCAGCTGGCAATCAGAAATTGAAAGGAAAAGAGGGACACAAGAATTACAGTCATCAGGGTTGTCATCTGTTGAAAATTATTGGAATTGCAGGCTGACAAGCCCCCAGGTCCTGCTTCTTAAAAAAAAGTGGCTGATGAAATAGTTGATGCATTGATTTCAAGATTTTCAAAATTCACTTGATGAGAAGATTCTATTAGATTAGAAGGCAACTAATGTAATTCCTGAATTCAAAAACTGAAGGAGAGAGAAAGCAGTCAATCATAAGCCTGTTAGCTTAACATATATTATAGTGAATAGCTAGCTGAGGAAAACTGGCAGCTAGCTGAGGGGATGTGTGCCATTTTGGTCTCCTCATCTGAGGAAGGATGTTCTGATTATGGAGGCAGTGTAACAAAGGTTTACTGGACTGATTCCTGGGATAGCAGGACTGACATATGAAGAGAGTTTGGATCGGTTGAGACTATATTCATGGGAGTTTAAAAGAATGAAGGGTGATCTTACAGAAACCAATAAAACTATAACAGAACTAGACAGCATAAATGCAGGAATGATGTTCCTGATGACTGGGGAGTCCAGAACCAGAGGTCACAGTCAAGGATATGGGGCGGGCCATTTAGGACTGAGAGTTTAGTGATTGTAACAGCCAGGTGAATGTCATAGAATATGAGTTCCCTGATTGGGGCTGTTTATCTGGTCCAATCAGGAAGCCCTGGCTGGCAGATATAAACAGGAATGTTAGACATCCTGCTCATTCTGAGAGCTGGCTCTGAGGAAGCTGGATCAGTGTCAAGCATTCACTATGTGTAAATAAAGAGTGACTTTGTGACGGGATATTGGTCTCCTGTCTCCTGGCCTCCAAACACCTTTCTAACCTCACTCAGCCAATAGCCGTGGGACAGTTCCTAATGATGTTTGATGAATGCTGTGTCTTTGCCTACCTTCACCTGAGAGTTATTTTGATTTTGTTTCTATGAACAATTATGCTTATTTTCAATGCACAGTGTAAATGAGGTGGGTTTGGTGCCAAATAAATTGCTGATGCTAGTTTCATTGGCATCGTGACCTCTGTGTTCCCTAGAAGGCTTCTTTTTGTTTTTAAATGCTAGAATTTTGGAAAATACTGCTCTAATCACTGTTAAATTAAATCTCTTGCTAGACAGTAAAACGCTTGGTAACTGTAGTCCTACCAGACCACAGGGCTTCATTCTTAACTTGAGGGTTACCATACCTCAGATGAGGGGAAGAGATGGAGAAGGAAAACTCTCTCAGCCAGGGCAGGAGTTGAAACCACACTGTTGGCATCACTTTGCATTGCAAACCAGCTGAGCTAACTGACCCCACTACACAGTAGATGATAGGAAAATGCAATTTATAAGAGACCCAAATATCCAACAGCTCCCCTGTGATAAGAAAATATGCTTAATCAGATATCGTAACTAATTGTTAACCAATCTGTTCATTTCTAAGGTGCGAATTCAGTTCCCAGGTTTCTTGATTACATTTTCCAAATAACATCATAAAGCTATTAGTGCTATTAATATCAAATGTTGAGTGGCCACTAAGAATAAGACCTAAATCTTCAACCATGGGGTCTGACTAATGTTATCGAATCATACAAAACATACTAACTGAGCATTTGACTTCCTTCTTCTATTTTTTTGTTTGGCTGGACCATTTTAACCAGATGTTTTTCTGATGTATTGGTCCTATTTAGGATTGATCTGCGATTTGGAAACAAAAGAGGAGTTGGGTGGCCAAATTGGGAGATGACCGTAAGTGCCTCATTTCTGCATGAAGCTATATCTGTAATGTGTGTTGCGAAGTTGTGTAAAGTACTTGTGAATTGGAAGGCAGGAAGTTAGAATCTGTTTGTAAAAATGATAGGGGGTACGAGTGTGTAGTCCCTTTAAGAGGTGATGTGCTTTTCTAAGCTTGGAGATTGAAACCAAAATGTGTCTGTAAGCAGCTGAAGTGGTACAGCCATTTCTGAAATTGAAACACGTATCAGTTGGCTGTGTGATTAAAAACCTTAGGCTTGTTTTGATGTTTCAGCAACTAGCTTGAAGATAAGCCAATTAATTTAAAGCAAGCACTTAGAGATTGAAAACCAATTGAATTTAAATCTGATGGTTTTGACAACCTTGGACCAATTCTACTATGAGAAAATTGACAGGTCATCTGGGGTATATAAGAAAAGGGTTTCTGAAAATCGGTGTGAGAGAGAACTGCCATCTGAAGAGTAAATATCTGGCTCTCACAGAAATCTCTAAGCTCTCTGGGAAAGTACCATCTATTCATAAAGGTACCATGGCACTCCTAGCTAAAAGTCCTCACAGAAGAATTCACAGAGAAAACATCCCTGACAGAAGGATGAGTGGAAGAAATGCGTTTATGACTGGAGAGACAGTGGAGAAGGCAGAACATTCTGGAAGACACATTCTGTATGGGCTTTGAGAGTCTAAATTTGATTTCATTTTCTTATTACTTGGGTTTAAATAAGGTGGGACTTGTGTTTATTGGAACAGCATACCAGTAGAATTTTGTTCCTATAGGGAATAGTTAGTAGTTAAGGGGGAATTGTTCAATTTGTTAGTAGTACTGTTAATTTGTTCACTGTTCCGGTTAAGTAAATAAATTGTTACTTGTTGCTTATAAAGTGAATATCAGGGATTTTCTTTCATTTAAGTATTCTTTTTTAACAGATTAGTTGAGGTGAGACAAGCTTCTCTGGACGTTTCAGGTTTAATTATTAGAAGGGGACCTCTACACCTGCCATAACAGATTGGGGGTTTGTGTTTTGATTTTAATTATTAGAGGGGTTTGACCTCCCCTTCCTAACATGTGATATATGGAATTTCCTGTCATAGTTATCTCAGTGGGTAGGCAACAAAAGATTGGCTTCTGTATCGGTCTTGTATCTCCCCCTTTGGTCTCTCTTTTTTTGTGCTTTCCTTTTTTCTTACATTGAATTGTCGGAATAGTCCCTCATTCCAAATTGAAACTATACTTTGAGGACTTTGATGATGTTGGCTCATGATTAGCTGGTTACATTACATTCAATTACAGCAACACTTCACTTATGAACTTAAAAGGTTTCCCAGCTCTCCCTTCACCTGTGTGCATCCTGTGGGTTTTTTCTTATGTATTTTCCACTCTTAGTCACCAATTGTCCAAGCCCAAAATAAATTTTACTTTAATTCTTATCTCCTGACTAATAGCTCTTTATTTGTTTTGAAGGCAGCACTTCAATGGATTATGCAACAGTGCATTCTTCTTTTAAACTGCTTTCATGTTCTTTCAGGTCACATAACTATTTTGTCAAGGACGTGTATATGTCTGAGACCAGTTTTTTGGTCCATTTTCACCATGCACTCTTTCATATTAATACAACCACTTTTGCACACTTTCCTTGGTATCCAAAGATTATGCCACGTATTCTTGACTTTCAAGTGAACTTTTTCCAATTTGTTTCTATGTTCAGAACAAAGAAATCTGTGTACTTCAACAAATACTATTTAACTATTTAACTTGTTATAACATGTCTTACATACTTGCATTTGTGGCATAAAGGAATTAAAGCACTGGTAGATTTGGATACGGAGAATATTCCATTTGGATAAAAGATTCAAAAGGGAACAAATAAGTAAGGATCAGGATGTAAATCCAGGATTAAGCAGGGTTACAAAATAAAACATGGACATTCACTTATATCAATAATATTGACATTTACTCTACACGAAAATGGTAGTTCTAAAGTGACCGTTTTCCCTTATTGCCTTATCCTCCTTCTTGTCAAATGCGTATACAATCAGATTTTAAGGGTTATATGGTCTCTGTTTCAATGACAAACTCCAGTCACGCACACCAGAACTTCATCACTTCTGTTTTTACTGCCAGTTTCTCTCTGCTGTTTCATTATTTTTTATGCATCTATTTTTGAAATGACAACACTGAGGGATAGGTGAAGTGACTCACTCCTTCAGAATCCCTCAACTTACAACTCCCCCACCTGCAGCAGAACTAACAGCTGTGCTGTCCACATTCCTCTGCCTCAGTACCGCAGATTCTCCTGTTACAGGTGAAAACAGCCCACTGTGGGTATGGAGAGAGAGCCATGATAACTGTTGGCCTGCCTGATACTCGACTGCTCACCCCTTACAAGGAGAGGATCCTGATCCTGAGCACCCAAGCAGCTGACTGACCGTGTCCAAGCCCCTGCCTTGGTGTTGGAAGCTGCTGTTGACTTACTGTGTTGGAGCTCGCCTTACTGAAGGGCGTCTCTCTTGACCTGACTGGTGACCGCTGACAACAATGACAAACTTTCTGGCTTTGCATCTGCACTAAATGTCAAGGCAGTTCAGAAGCACTGTCACTCTGCCAACTCTGACGGAGGGGACATGCCACAACATGGCAGGGATGCTGTGACCAACAAGATAGGCTCAAAGTGAGTGAGCGCTGAGAGAACAAGCCAACATCCCTTAGATGCAGCATGCTCCAACCTGTGAGTTGGGTGCCTGCGCTTGCATGTAAAATGTCTTTGCAGCAACATTGCCTTGTTGTCTCGGATTCTCCAGCATCTGCAGTTCCTACTATCTCTG